AATAAGTATGTAAAGATGCGATTTTTTTCACATTTGCATTTCTTTCATAATGCGTCCAAATTTGGTATCATGTGCAAAAAACCACTTCACTTTTTTTGTTTATCTTCAAGATTACGAAACTTACCCAAACCACTCAACAAACCTGCATTTTCCGATTCGACGAGCTAATCCTGATAGAATTTCTTTTGACATACGTCCCCCGTATCTCAATCGCTAAGATTAGTGTGTCATTTATACGGCATTATGCCATTTTTGCATAATCTTTAGTACCCTCATGGATATATGTGACATATAGATTTCAAAATAGAACTCTTAATCCATCATGTCTTCATATTGGCAGAGAAAGCAGCGTCGTTTCTCAGATTTCGTCAACATAATCCAACTCGCTCCACTTCACCCTTTCAGTCTTTCACCTCCATTGAAGAAGATGATAAAAATTCAGTTTCTTCGATAGGAGGGAAAGTGGAGGCAAGGGTTCTCCCCAGTTTTTTCGGTATGACACAAATCTTGAGGTGCTTCCCGGTTTCATCTTTGTAGGAAAATTTCATCCCATTTTTTGTGCGTCGTGATTTCAAGCAGCGAAAGGAACACTGGTTGGGATCGAATTTGTTTCATGAAACGGAGAAAGTGCATTGACGATGTTTGGACTCTCATGTAGACAAAAAAGTGTGAGATGTGACGTGAAATGTTAACTGCGGGTATATATCTACACATAATTTCGAGCATAAATCATGTCATCGGATTTATGTAAATATGTAGATTACCATGGTCAGATTTCTATAGGTTTCTAACTTGTCCGAAATTCTATGAGGTCTACACGGCCCACTCAATTTCAAGGAAGTGCGAAACGTACTTAAACTAACGTGTTTTTTGCACTATTTATGTTGCTGGACTTAAAAAAGCACTAAATATAAGTGTTTTCTAAATATATTTTAAATGCTGAAATTAGCAGGTCCTACATTTATTATTTATTAAACTATGTACTACTTTTAAAATCTAACTTTAAATAAAAATATATCTGAAAAGCTTTTCTCTTGCTGAGGTTCTGGACAGGAATTACACTTCAGTCACGTTTACAGACGTCTGTATAACCGGTCAGTTAATTTGATTTATTTTTAGTAGCACGTTAACGTTTGTCCAGTTTAATAAAAACTTGTCCTACAACTCGATCAATACGATTTTTCTGAGATGTTTTTGTTTTTGTCAAGCGTATAAAAATAGACGTCACATATCTTTTGATTGAACTTGAAGAGTTGTTTCAAGTATTGATACGAAGACGATACGCTTGTGATTGCGGAGGCAGTTTATGGCAGTGAATCCAATAAAATATACACTTTAATCCCACGCGGATCTCACTTTTTCTCCTGAATTTGTTTTATTTTGTATGCTCTTCAATCTCTTAGATCAGAAAGTCGGATGTTTTTTTAGTAATTTTGGAGAAAGTAAACTTTGTTTTGCTTTGTTTCTCAACTCTTGAATTTGGAAATTTTGGGGAATCTGGGTGACAATAAAAGAAGCTTTTTCAGAGGTTAAAAGTCGCATGATAAAATTCGCATGATAAAATTCGCACATTTGACTAATAATAATGATAAGTAGATTTGCGAGATCACCAGTTTAATAATCATTTGTGAATTCATACACAAAGTCAAGTTACTTTGTTCGAATATGTTTATTTTGAAAATCGTATTTTGAAAATCTTGATTTTAAGTTCCGGCCACTCCTCCCTCGAATGCTGTGGTCGAATGCACAAATTCTAATTGTTCCGGTATTTCTGTATCTTCAGACTACTCAAAATTGTTAAGCGCAAAATAATATTTTCGCACGATGACCCTACGTGCACACATAATCCATACAAATACAACTCCAATTACAACTTTCTCTTATCCACTATGCACAAAATTTTCTAGTCAACTCTAGAACGAGATGAAGATCGGTACAAAGTTTGTTCATCCCCAAAATACTATAAAAAAGTACAATTGGAGAAATCGAGTGTCTCACTCACTCAAATTGCGAAAAAGAATGTTGAGAGCAGATGCAATTCTGAGCAATAAATCAACCCTCGACGAGTACTTTTACAGTTCTCCTTTTTCTGCACAAAACAAAGCCAAGATCTCCAGTTTAGTGAAGTTAGGTCAAGTCAAGGCCCACAGTCCGATTTTTCGGAAAGAAAGTGTGCCGAGAAATAACAGTTTGTTGCGTTCTTATCTTTTGAGACTGATTAGGATAACTTATTTCTGACCATATACAGTCTTAGTTTGTCAATCCTTGACTTTTTTATGTATGCATATTATTGACTTTGCCTGTTTCTAACTTATATTCCGTAATTCTGTCATGCAAAGGTCTGCATGTTTCGCAAATATAAATTTTGTTACAGGAACAAGGAGTTTTTTACACCTAGAAATACAAATACATGCCCTCTACTTATTTGGACAATTTGGGTTTATTTTTAGTTTTTAAGTTTCTAAAGTGTTTATACAGAAGCAACAGATTTTTCACGTTTTGGCAAGCTCTAACGCAACACCCTTTTATATAAAATGTTAATTTATTCATTCAAACACACGGAATGAGATTGTCTCTCAAAAGTGCTTACACTTACATAAGTGTACAGTATTCTGATTTTTTTCGTATTTCTCGATTTATTTGTTTGTTCGCGTGGGTGGAGAAGTAATTGAAATTCGGTTCACAGATTTAATTTCATGCCTTGAAGAATTTAAGATTTTCTAGAATTTGTTTAATCTTGCCGTCATTTCGCAAAATTTATTTCAAATGACTTTTACATTGTGAAAAGTAGGTTGAGTTGTGGTACATCGGAATTTTAGATTACGAAGCGTATAATTCAGAATTTTTTCATGAAATTGTGTATTATTTTGTTTTTTAAAATGCGCGACCTTGTCTATCATGTCACAGTCGTCTTATTGAAATTCAGTCTGATAAAATCTAACCCAGTTATTTTCATAGTTTTCTTCCTACAAATATATCTGTAATTTCAAATTCAATAAGGTTAATAAATGCCCAAATGTCTGGCTTTCTGCAAGTTGAGTAATGACTAATAATTGACGTTTCCTGTAAAATAAATAAATGTTTTGATGACAGTGAATATATCAAATTTCATGACAGTGACATCGGTTGTCAATGTTTTTGCCAAGGTCTATTGTACCCATTGTAGGTGGGGATCATTTCTGATTGATAAATTTGTATGTATTTACATATTAATGGTGTTGTTTCAAAGGGCCAATTTTTATAAAATTATTCTGAACCATTTTTTAAAATTACTTATGATATTATCCAATAATTTGTCATTTTAGCTTCTGCATGATCAATCATCGCGTAGAGTCATTAATGACTGCTGCAAATTAATAGCCCCATTTAATTATGCATAGGTAGTAATATTAATGCACAATTGTGAAATTCACTCGGATATTTATACGTTACAAATAATACGATTTGTATTCTTTCTGTGTAAACTTGTATCAATTTTGCTGGGTTACACTACAACCGAGTAGATTTCCTAAAAAATATTCACCGAATATGATGAATATGATTGATTGAGTGTTATTAGATTTCAAGAGCTGCCGACTAGCCACGAGATTATTAAGTCCATGTGCATGCGTTGACTGCGTGAGTGAAAGAAGGAAAACAATTCGCAATAAAAAACAATCCATCAATATATGTACTACCCAAAATCAAAGAGATATGAACCAATCGATAAAAAAACTATTGATATTTTTTTTATATATCTCTGTATTTGCATGCAATTCGCGAAATACTTTACAGTTTAGCAATGTGCCAAATCAAGTATCTAACAGACCAGATTGATCAATTTTGAGTGAATTTATGAATCAGTTTATGATTAAACTTAATCGTGCAGACCGAAGACATTGATCAATAAGTATTTACCGACCACCATTTCAGCTAACTTACAAGAACTAACTAATCCTAATCCTCAGAGGTAGATCTTCAGGATGTTTTGCTTGCAGATTATATCGACGTTTAAATTATTGATGTGGATTTGTTCAAGAATGATGTTTTCGCAATTTTGATGCATTTTTTGCATAATTTGCATAATTTGTACAAAACAATAACTCTCAGTACACAGTAAACTTTACCAAGGTCAAAGTACTCTCAATTTGTGAGACGGAAGTTGTTTGGACAAAATTTAGGAAGTCAACTTGGCCGTCCCGTCGTCGTCTCCATTTCATTCTCTCATGTTCGATAGAAATGATTGATTACGACCAACACGAAGGTTGAAGAGATTTTTTTTCTGATTCATAAAAACTCGGTTTATGTAACCAGTCAACCCTGCAAGTTGATGCTGTAATGATTCGGTTATAAAAGTTACCAGAAACTTATCTACCTCCACTAGCTTAGTACTTAATATTGCGTTACAGATCCGCTATATATCCGCTAGATCTGTATATCCGCTATGCGTTATTGGTTAAATTTGTATTCCATGAGGAAAAACTTCGGGGTTTTTCTGGGTTTTTTTGGGTTTTTTTGGGTTTATTTATTTTACATAAAAATGCTCAAAATTTTATGCTGAACCCGAAACTTTTCATTGATCCAAGTTGTAGTTTAAAGAATTTTGTCTCAATCTGCCCCAAAATCTCGCAAAAACCTTGCAAAACCCCACAAAACCCCGTAAAAATCCCTATTAAGCATTAGGATTTTTCCGGAGATTTGATACCCCAAAAACCCCAACCCACAAAAATACTGGGTAGCGTACCCTGACTATTCTTTTTTTAATACTACATACTAACTATGCTAAAAAGAGGTTAATCACGTACTTATATATGTACATAAATGCTAATGTGCAAGCAATTTAAGGTTTTCCCACTAGGTTTATTCATTTGAAATCAAGCTGGGAATTATGTGTATGCTATTTTTACATGTTTATAGTGCTTAATTAGCAATAGGCTAAAAATGTATAAATTCTTCTTATAAAATTCTGAAAAATATGAAACTTTACCAGAAAATAACGAATGATCTTTTTTATTCAGATTAGATTAAAATTCAAATCAGTTCACAAATAAATACGACCCTTTAGTTAGTTAATTAGAATTTGCCTTAATTTCACTGCAAATTGCATTCTAAATATATAAGTAATTTTATGAGTGTCACGTTATAAGGTGTGTACTTTAGTTCAAGAAATCATCGCTGCCTTTTCCCTTTTTCCCTTTGCAAGCAACCTTGAAAGCTTCGTCCATGCAAACATCAAATTTTTCCCATTCCGGGCATGACTCAGTTTTTGCTGTTGGCCTTGTGTATGCAGGATCTAAATAAATAAATGAGAAAAATTGAGAAATTTGAAATCAATTTTCAGCAATTTTCACGTAGCATGACTTACTGGGCTTGGCGCACCCATCCACGGCCGCAACGATGGCGTCCTTTGATTTTTCATTGGCTTTACTAACGCCCAAATCGTTAGCTTTACCCTTCAGCCATTTCGTGTCAAGTTTATTGTTCACAATGAATCCGTCGTAATTGTAGGCCAAGCAAAGTTTGGCACACTAGAAAAATGCATAAGATAAGACCCCATATAGAAATTAAGACGTAAACTTATCAGTGGCCGCGGAAGCTTGAGGGGACAAAGGGACAATGTTCCCACGGGTATTTGATGTCCCCATCCTCTCCCCATGTTATATAAGTAATTCCCTCCCTTATAATGTCCCCACAGCTCCCGCAGCCACTGAAACTTATCCTTTTAGGTGTGTCACCTCATTTGCATAAATTCCACTATGCCCATTTTCGACGATACGGGCTTTCCACGGTGAATGTCTGGGTCAAAATATGCAAATGAGGTGACTACAACAAATAATTTGACCATACAAATTCATCCGTGATGTCCAAGCATTTTGCGGCAGCGGCAAGAGCATTAGGGACCCAATCAAGGGGGAGGGTTGGGGTTTCTCCGTTGCAGGTCCCGTGTTCTTCGATAAACTTGTTGATTTCGAACTTCTTGCATTCCTACAAAAGTATTAATAAAAAATAAAAATGCAATTTTTTTAGGGCTTTCTCATCATGAGCAAGATAAAATCATAGTATTGAGTGAGATTGTAAAGTAAGTATTTACCGAATTTTGGACAACGAATAGCACCACGAAGAAGAAAATGGAAACAACTTTCCTGGCGGAAGGCATGCTGCTTGAAAAGTTTAAGGTGTTTCAAGTCCAATATGACAAATGTGACTAGGCAATCTATCAGAATATATGGGTATATATACATATTTTTGTTAGGTTAGGTTGGGGTAGGTTAGTAATTCAACACTTTGAACAATTGAAAACGTCACAAATTAGAAACAATGGGAGGTTATATAGGTAAAGGGTTGGGAAGAATGTATATATCTACGTGTCCCTGGGAAATAGGAATGCAGACGATGATAAACCTTGTATAATGTTGGACCCTGTGACTCCTTGATTTTGTTTTTATGTACATCACATCAAGCATATATGTTTAACATGTAGTTCGAAAAGACGTAATCGCTGTGCTCGACTTGTGAGAAAAAATGTATGTTTATGTATATAATGTTCATAAAATTTAGTATATTTCATGGTTTGTTGTTCATTCCATTTCATTGTTTTATTAGAAATGACGTGATTTAACTTGGGTTGGTGACGAGTGGTGGACAAACGGTTGGAAGGAAAGTTTTTTAACGATATCACTGATACCGTAAAAAAACTGTGTGCAGTGATTGTGGGCGGGGAGAATTTTTTAATGCTCATAAATAGTTATGCATGCACATAATGCACTTTTATTTATCAAGAATTAGAGAACAATTATAATGCATTTGTGTTGTGCTCTAATTGAATTGAGCGTGTAGCCATGTTCTTAAATTAGAAGAATTTGCACAATTTTTGATTAAGCGCATATACTTATTTGCTACGGTTTAAAAAGCCGCAGGATTTTTTAAAATGTAGACAAAATTGCGGAAATTTTAATCCATCATACGTCAAAATCGTTAAGATGACGCTATTTCGTTGTATATATTTTAATAAGCGTTCAAAATTACGACCGGGTCCCGTCAGGTAAATTAGTAGATTTAGTAGATTCCTGCAGAAAAATTCGGTTTTACGCAATTATTCAAGTTTAAAGAAATTCAATTCCAAAGTGAACTTACTTTCTCGGATGAGACGCAAAAAATTAGATGGAAGTCAAATCGAAATAAAATTCTTCCACCATGAAATTTCTGCTTCTTAATAATATGCATAAATACTTTTCTCATGAATGGATGGATTGGATAATCGTAATATGCGGTTTAAAAATATGTGTTAATAATGTGTTACCGAATTGTAACTTTCGAAGCTTAGTGTTAATTTATTACCAATTTAGATAGTAAGAATGCAATGTGTTTATCATTCCATCCCAAGTTACTGAATTATTTATAGTCTAGGAATTTGTGACTAGAATTTTTCAAAATGGTTTATTTTTGAAGAATTGTTAAATACTCAATATTTTGCAATTCTCAATTTTGCAATTCTTAATTCTATTAAATGTTAAACGAAATGCTTCTGATTTATGAGCGAGTGTTCCGCCGGATCACATAATTTTTTAAATGTGATGAAGAGTTATTACGTATAAAACTAGGTATTCAGAGTCTGGCATAAAAAAGAGCTTCATACGCAAATAAATTAACACACTTGTTGATTATTTACTAAATTCGCTAATTATCAAGTTAACGAACAGATTCGAATTAGCTGAATTTTTTTCAACTAAAACCGAATACAATCAAATCTGTTAACTAATTTTTCGTGTATTTTCACTTTGCTCGTCGTTACAAATTTTCATGTTAAACACGTCACTTTAATTATCAAGCTCAAACAGTCAACAAAAGACGAAATAAACAACTTGTATAAAAAGAACTGAAACTAATTGTTTTGTTGGTTATTGATTTAATTTTGCCAATTGTGTGACGTAACGTATATAAAAAAATTCGCACGTTAACATCCCTTCGTGAAAAGGGGCAGGTCCATTTCACAGTGATATTTTATTTTCATACCGTCAAGAATTTCAATGCAGTACTAATTTCCTCCACTGCACGTGCTGTATCGATTATCATAAATTTTGCAACAGCCGACAAGCCAAGTTTGCACGATTTTGCATCCTGAAAAATATATTTATTTGCGTTGCGCTTAAAAATCAAGACGCGAAACATGTTGATGTGTTTGTCGGTCGGAAAAACAACGTCCTGGTCAAAACAAACTTATTGTTCAAATCGTCACGATTATATGAAATGATCTGATGACGTGAAAAGTGATACCCGCATCCGATCCGATCCACTCATCACTTGCCTTGTTTTCACTGTTTCTGACGGGAATATGTACGTGATAACTTTGTAAAATGGGAGTGAGTAATCAACCGTGTGGCAGGACTCGGTTTGTGTGTACACGCTAAAAAATGTGGTAGTAATTTGCTACCGGGATGGTACTGGTACTTGTATTGATTTGGTAGTAACTTCCTACCGAATTTGTATTAGTTTGTTTGTGAGTGGTAGGGTGAAATTTACGAAATTTGCCACGACATTACTAATGCCCGTTATTACCAGTGCCGTTAGAGTCATATAAATGTGTACTCCGGTCGGTAATGATTTAATACCAGTTTTTTAGGAGGGTATGTATGAATTGCCGGTTTATGAAATAATATCTACTCGTACGTAACTTTGAACAAAATTGTAATGCCCCATTTCTAATTATTGTACTGTACTTCCAAGGATTAAAAGCGTTACCATTTAGTAGTAACATGTTACCAAACTGATATTCCCCCAGTCGGATGGGTTGATAACAATCTTTCAAAAATATAAAAGTGTGCATCATCCGTTGGTGGATTTCTGTTAGATTAAGCTCTGCCTCGATGGATGGATTGTGCCATGTCGTTCAGTTTGACATGATATGTGACATGATATGACCTCGAGTCCTTCCTGCGTTTCTCTTGTCTTGGTCAGTATACGTACAAAACAAATGGATGAAATGAAATGGTAGTGACCGGGGACTGATAACGTCAAACTAGGTTTGGAATCCATACATATCGACTTTTTGAGCCAGTCAGAAATTCTCTCTACAAGATCTATGACAATCTATTATGTGACGGTGATGTATGATTCTGTGAATATGACACTAGTTAGTCACTCGTGGTATTTGAATTTATTACCCGGTTGGCAATAACCCAGATGAAAGGTAAGTTGTCACGATTTCTTGTACAATAAAATTTATGAAATCGTAATCTCAGCTAGATTTTATATGTAACCTTGACAGGAAACTGGTGATAATAATTCCAAGAAAGAGATAAGTAGATGAGTGAAAGCAGCATCAAAACATAATTTCAATGCTATCGTGACGTATGTATGATGAATCTCGGTCCCCATTTCCGCACCAGCGGAAATGGGGACCGCTTTCATTTTTCAAATAATTTTGCATGTAAATAGCTTAGGTTAACACTTTAGATAGTTCTTGAGGATAGAAAATTCCTAACACCTTTTCCCCTGAATTATCCATTATGGAATATGTCATAGGTTTGCTGTTATGAGCTTCGCTAATTTTGTAAATCTTGTCTGTAAAAGTAGGGGAATAGCCTTTCCTGAAAAGCGCTTTATTTATTTTAATTCTAACAAAATCTCCTGATTTTAATTTCGGTTTTTGATGCTTCATCATAAGAACATCTTTATTACTCCGAAACCAAACATCCATCTGATTATACTTGTTGACAGACCTAGGCGAACATTCAATAATTCTGTTTGCTCTCATTATATGAATCTACTACTTCTTGTAAAATATCATAATACACATTTGTTTTTCTATATGTGAAAACTTTTTGTAATCTCGTCATCAGAGTTCTATTAAACCTTTCGACCATTGCTGCTTTAAGTGGCGAATGGTTATGAAATAATTTTATGTCTTGTTCCTTTAATAAATTATAAAATTGTTTGTTAAAAAATTCTTTTCCTTCGTCTGTTTGTATGAATTTTGGTTTCCGATTTGAGTTTAGGATTAATTCCTTGAAAGACTCTGTTACTGATTTTCCATCTTTTTTTCTTAGAGGTTTAACAAAAGCAAATCTACTTAGAGTATCTATTACTGTTAATAAATATTTTGTTCCCTTGTTTAATCTTGAATATTTTGATATATCTATTAAATCAGCTTGCCAACAATAATCAACTTCGTGGGAAGTCATTTCACGTCTAAAAAATTTATGCTTCACAGATTTGTTTGTTGTATATGTTTCATAATGCTGTAGAAAAGTTACAGCATCCTTCAGGGATACTCCCGTTGCTGCAGATAACCGATGTGGTCCACCAAAACTTCCAATATGTTTTGGATTAAAGTAGATTTCTTTCAAAAGTTTGTGTTTTCATGATTGAATTGTTTGAAATATCCGAACGCAATGTCTATTTTTCTGAATACAAATATCGCTGAGACTATTTGCACATTTTCCGCTACATTCGATTCCACATTTGGAACATTTTGGAAAGTAAAGGTTTGTTTTTACAAAGTTTGATACTATTTTATCATTCACAAGAGTATTTTCTGAGTTGAATTTATTTAAAATTTTATCGTAGGACAAGCCACGGTTTCGATTAATTAAGAAGTATAAGCAATACCCTCCACACAGATTGCTGGGAATTTGACTGAAATTGAGATGATGACTGTCTAACCTTTTTCTCGTTTCTTAATGCAAAATCTTCAAATTCTTTTCCAAAAAAACCTAAAGGCATTCCAAAGCTATCAAAAAATTCTAGAACAGACGATTCAGTTTCTTTGTAGAAAGCTAACCAGTGCATCCCTGCCTCGTTTGAAGATTGGTTATTACTAATAATTGCAAACGTTTTTGAATTAATACTATCTAACTGATCTTTGGCACAAACAGCTATGAAAAGGTTCATAGAGTTGATTAAGGCATATCGAAGTTGTAAAGAATTCATTATTGTACAGAAATTTGTCTAAATCTGTCAATCTCCAAGATTTTAAAATGTTCAGAATAAACTAAACAATTTACCGCTTCAGGCAGTGCCTTAGCAAATTTTAATTCGATTCTTACACATCCGTTTTTTTTCCAACTGTAGTGCAGAATCTGACCCAGTAGACTGATTAATGTCAAATCCAAAAAATGTCTGACCACTACAAAATTCTTCTCTGTCAAAAGTCAAACCTTGATCTTGTCCTGCTGTTCCAAGAGAACAATACAGTAAATAATATGGCAATAACTTAATATCACTGTCAAAATCAAGTTGTAAACCTTTAATAGGATAGGGAACATTGTTCACACTTAATGATATATAATTAAGATTGTAATGGGGAATACATAAGGATTAACGTCATAGTCCCCAACAAAACCCTTACTCGGAATTAGACAGATGACAATTCTAGTTGGGATTGTACCAAGGAAAACGTTTTCTTCGATAAAGGATTGTGACGATTTTGGAATTGAAAAAAATTTTACTTCTGATTTTTTGAAGGGGTATCGAGCACTATGCCCTCCTTCAAGTAGCTTTTGGTGAGACAAGACAATACTAGGATATAAAACATGTTTTCTAATAAATAGACTCGCATCAAGGAATTTTACTTTGGGATTAATCGCGGGACTACCTGAAGCAAGTGCCCCGCACAAAAGGGAAAACGTTTCAACAGCTAGTGGTAACTGTTGTGTCATTCAAAATATATCGATGTTGATAAGCAAGGTCAAATTTTAATTTATCAATTAATTCCACCGGTTTCGAGGCTTGAATCCATTGCTTTCTTTTTTTGTAGCCTGTGTTAGTATCTTTCAGCGATCCATTATCAGTGTCTTTGTAGAATAGTGGACAAGTCGCTTGGGAATTTATGTAATCAGTTCCGTATGTCAAAACTGTTTCTAAATAAGCTTTGTACATGTAACAGGTATTGCTGGTTTAAACAAGTTGATTATTTATACTAACATCACATTGCGAAAACAGGGAATGCATAAATAAGTTAGAAGTACTAACCTCTGCTGCTGCTGGTAAATCTTTTCCATCCGATGCAACAACTTTTACTCTAAGATAACAGAAATGGTCAAACAAGTCAAGATATTGCGATGCATTTCCAGTAATTCGGAAATCAATTTTTGCATCGTTATCTTGTATATTTACAACAGGTTTATATTCTGCGTAGAAACTGGATTCAACCGTTGTGTCTGTAGGTGGAAGACCAAATAACTCTACTTGTCCCCTAATAGACGGTTGAGAGAATTCGTTAATTAATGCCATTATCCAAATATATCCCGTTTACTAAAAATTGATCTTCTTTTCTTAGGTGCAGTTGGTGTTTTTCTCTTGTTGCCCGATTTTACGGATGAAGCTTTAGATTTCTTTGGGTTGGACGAGTGATGTGATTCGTGCAACACCTTACACTCTTCTGACGTTGCACCTAGTAAAGCTTTTCGTTTTCTAGAACCTAATCCAGCTCCTGCTTGGGGTTTAAGAATAGATTTTCCAACCTTTTTAGCCATTTTAATAGCATTGGATTTTAGGGCTGTTTTAATTGATTGACCATTTGTAATATCAGATACTGTACTCATAATTGCAGGCGCTGCATGAGGTAGAATATATTTGGTAATGAGCGGTAATCCATATCGACCGATAAATCCCAGAATACTTCCTAGACCACCTCCTTTCTGTCTATAACCTCTAAACACGGGTATGCCTTTACCAATTTGATTCTCTAACACACGGTGATAGTGTTCGTGGTGAAATACATGAACATGCTTCATTTTTTAGACTATTAGTAGTGCCCTGGAAAAAGGATAAAAACTGTATGAAGCTTCGTACGCTAAGCAGTTGAATAATGGAAGTTATCAAGAAAAGTCTTTACTTATAAACGAAAAATCATGTCATTTTACCTACACCTACTCCTAGGTCCGCTCTCATTCCATATTGACAACGCGCAATGCTCACATGCTAAAGCATTAAAAATTCTCAACGATTTATCAAGCAAGATCATTCAGGAAGCATCCCCGGACGAGATACGAGCACTAAGTGAAATTGCTGTAAATATATTAAAAGGTCGTTTTCAAGTAGACGAGGAAACAAGAAAGAAATTACACAAACACAAAGATCAAATCAGGGAATTATCAAAAAAGTCAAAATCACATAAAAGCAAGAAGGAACATTTAGTACAGAAAGGAGGTTTTCTTCCATTCTTAATGACACCCGTGCTTTCAGCTCTTGGTGCAATAGCAGGACGAGCGATTAGTTCACACTTAGGGTTTTAAAAACTAAATATTAAAATGTCGCAAAAAATGAGAGTTGTTAGTGAAGACGAGTATTCCCAGCTTCTAAAAAAGACCAACACAATGGAGCATGCTAAAACTCACTTTTTTACGGACAAGGATCAGGAAGCTACATCAGTTTTTGGATCCTTAATTTCGGAGGATATTAAAGTCCAATTGTACAGTAGTTTAATGAAACGTGTAAATAATCAGTTGAAAGACATTTTAGATAAACTTATTTCCGTTAGAATGGTTTCTGGTGAAGATAAATCATCCATAGGAAAAAGTAATACTATCTCCACTAATGAAACTCCTCCACCTGTAACTCCTTCTAGCACAGAGTCTACTCCAGTTGGTTCCCCTGAAAAATTCACGTTATCTGAATCAGATATAAAAATGCTGAAAGAATTTCCTACCACTCAAATGAATAAAGCTCACAATTTGCTCGGGTTTTTAAAGTGTCATCCTGAAATGATAAAATGGGATAAATCAGGACGAGTAACTTTCTGGGGAAGTGAGTTTGAACCTGACTCTAACATTTCGGATTTAATGAGTTACTCCATTAGAGATTTGAAATGGACCACATCCCCAAACGGAATCAACAGATTCCTGAGAGTGTGTAAAATGTTAAATGTCCCTGCCGCTCTATTTTCAACTGTAGTGAGAAATGATCTTATGGGTACCTTAGATTCTATTCCTCTAAAACAAACAGCTACGCTCAGTGCTCATAAGCTGTCGAGCTTCAGTGCATGGGAACTGTTAAACCAAAATGATGCTCTGAATAAAACCTTTGACCCATATCGTACTCCAACGGGAATTCCCCAAAGACCTCGCAACACTAAGGACGTTACATCAAGACAGAAGACTTCATATGGTTTCCCACATGATAGAATGGCTTTTGACTGAGGTATTCGTTTTTGAACAACAACAACAACAAAAAATTCCTTCTTAACTTTGAGGTCTGGTTTGTGTAAAAAAATTGTTTTAATAATTTAATAAACTATGCTAAAGTAGTACGACATATTAGTGATATGTTCATTGTAGTGTCAGAGCTCATGCGATTCAGTTCTAATCAGATAAGGTTTTCCGTATTTATTTTAAATACTAAACATGGTTCTCCAAGATGAAACTTTTCCAACTCTGGTCTATAAACCATACGATATTGATAACAAAGATATGTGTCTAAATAGTGATCGTTTAGCAACATTCAAAAACTGGACCGGAAAATGTAAGCAAAATCCCAAAAATTTTAGTGAAGCAGGATTTTACTCTACTGGATATGGAGATCAGCTTTCTTGTTATTATTGTGGAATAATAATCCATAATTGGCTGCCAAGTGATGATCCCTGGATTGAACACTCTATTCATTCAAGTGACTGTCCATTCCTCTCTTTGCACAAACCTAAATTGCAGACTATTTTATCGAAGGATTTAGACCAAAGTTATACTTACCAAAAATATAATGTAATTTTGTAATGCTTTTATATATTTTCAGTTTTATCAAAATAATTATTTTATTGTTTTATTATTTTTTTATTACAGAGTCTATGCAAACAAATAAATTCGTCAAAGGATGAGAATGGTGAAAATCAAGAAAATGCTACTCTTACACTCCTTCATAGCCTGATGGAAACATTTCTGTGTTCGGTGTGTAAACTCGAAGAAGCTAATTACATGTTCACTCCATGTTGTCACATTTGCTCCTGCTTTCCATGCTCTACTACCCAAGACCTATGTCCTATTTGTAGATGCCAAATTAAGGGAATAACAAAAGTTTTCAAACCTTAAACTGTACATGTTTTATTTATTATTTATATATTTGTAATTGTAATCATTTTATTGTTATGTTTAAACTGTACAATAATTCACTAAATAAATAATTGGTACTTGTTAATTTTAAATATTTTACTTGTTGTACGTAGGAATCAAAAAATGATTGTGAGCAAGTGTACTAATTCCATCGGGTAAAATAAAACGTTTCGAATCAAAACTATGCAAAGCTACTTTTGTATAATTTGCAGTTGTTAGTTTATGATTCTTTGAACGAATCAAATTCATTCTGCACATATATTTTGTTTGCTCAAACAAAGTCTCCATAAAAGCTTTATGAGTTACATGTTTTCGTACTAAAGATTGTTTGACTCCTTTCATAGCAATCTTATGGATATTCTTACCTGCAAAGGAATACATTTTTGGAGAAACACCCACAAAACTATACATGATTTTTCCGTTACTCTCGTCCTTCATTTTACCAATCACTTTTTTATTTTCTGTAGAATAAAGTGGATGAGTGTGGTCAAAATCACTAAAGTCAAAATCATTTTTCACCAGTCTTAAATCAGCATAAAGATCAGCGGGTTTAATTTGATAGGCTAAGCTGTCCGTATCTGTAAAAAGGAACCTGGCTTTAATTCCATACCATTTTTTGATCTTGTCATAATGCCAAACCTGCATAAACAACTTGCTGAGATCTAAAACCGAAAACGCTGTATATATTGGCTTATCCAATACAATACTAGGTTTACTCATGAAAACAAGTACCAAGTTTGGAGAAAGAATCTCAAATTTTCTGAAGTTCGAAAGCCTGGAATAGTATTTTGCTGTTTCAATACTATTAACTATATATACATTTTGCTGATTCCTAACATTCATCATGCTACGTCCAAAAATTGCGTTAACTATTAGCTTGAAAAAGTCTTGCTCAGATTTGTTTGTAGCTTTTCGTCGTAAATCACAACAAAGGTTTACAAAATCTTTAAGCCAGGGCCTTTGAACAAATTTAATTATCTTATGAATCTTTGTTAATACCATTCCCTTCTCCAAATAATATTTGAGATTTCTATAATGCACTGGATACATTTTTCTAGATCCTAAATGAGGAACTAATTTTTTCTGCTTTTCTGAATATTTAATGTTATAGGAAGTTAAAAGCTCCCGCTGATGCTTCGAGAGTTGATTCATGGAAATTGTAATTTTCTCCGGAGCTAGTGAATATTCGTTGTGCTCGCTCAACAGGTGGAGCTCACAGGGATATTCTAAATTGACAACCAAAATTCTACCGATTTCATCCTCATCACCCCATGCCAAAATATCATCTATACTTAAATTATCAATGAACTCTTGACTTTCCCATTGAAAATCAGAAACAGGCAAAGGCTGCTGAAGCGCCTCACCGTACAAGTTGTTTTTATCAATATAAAGAAGAAAAGAGTCTTCCTTGACTCCTTCTTCATAATCTTCCATATACTTGTTGTAAGCTTCAGAATATCTATGAGATATCATAGATACTCCTCCTCTAATGCCAGACTCTATAGTATTGTACATGTCTTGATCAGTAACAAGTTCTAGCTTAACTTTTGTACTCAGAAGAGCAGCATCCCAGCTGAAGCCTGGGAGACTAAAATAGTGACAAGGGTCAAGCTTAAAGTTAGAAATTGCCATATCCCTGTAGCTTTCAAAAACGCATGCCAACAGAAGTACATCTGTTGTTAAATATATGTCGTGGTACGAACCCAGGTCAGTGCATTCGGATTCAAACACTGACTTACCAAAATCATAATCCTCTTGTGAAATCCCTTCACAAGTGAGGGTGTTATAAAACTCAAAATATGGATAGACACCTTTCCTTGAGAGTTTTACAGCCCGTTCTTTTGAAAAATGTTGTATCATTATACCAAACTTGTCATCAAAGCCTTCGGGTTTTGCATGAAGGTTTGTTACAAGAGTATCTAAAGATTTGGGAAGATGCATGAAAGAATCTATGAACATGAACTTATCACAAATAATGCCTATAAATTTTTCAGAGTTTTGAGGGATAACGAACGTATTCCCAGAACCAAATTTCGTTGCTGAACTTAACAGCAGGTGAGAGTCATAATTTCTAAAATTATGCATAAGTACAGGGATTTTGACTTTTTGAATATACGAAGCATTACATTCTCTATGAGCAGCTCCTCTAAATAATCCAGTATTGTGATCATGATCTCGAACTTTTATAGATTGGTGATCAAAATCATGCTCACAAATGTGGCAGGAATCTGCCATAGAAAAATCATATTCTTCCTCTAGAGAAAGTTGTTTCATAGCGATATGGATTTTGTTCCTTTGTATGCAAAAGCTAGCTTGTAGATTCACTTCATCTATAAATTTGTCAATGCTATTTGGACCACGATATTTCGATATATGAACCAGTTTCTTATTTGGGCCAATTACTGCAAGATTATATCCTGAAATTTTGTGTTTATCTATTGAGGTCGTACTGGTATTATCGTCTGTGAGCATTGCTTCAAAATCTCCATACATCACAAAGTTACACTTTAGTTTATTACTAAGTTTTTTACTCTCAAAAGAGCAGAATGGAATTTTTCCATCAACGACTGAAGGAACAGAAACCTTTTGAGTTTTAAACTCAAAACACAACTGCTGATGTGAATCAAGACGCTTTTCATCTCCGAAAGTATTCAAACAATTGTAGCAAACAAATTTTCGATGATGTCCCTGTCTGTTGATTAGGCGAGAAAAATTCAGGATAGACATGTAATGCCCATGTTGCTTAAAAGCATCCTGAATGTATAGAATGTTTACGATTTTATGCGTTCTGCTATTTGCATAAGGTGTTAGGCGTAAAACGTTAAGCTGCTCTTCTTGATCAATACCAAACACATTAATACCAATTTTAATATGTTTGTGCCGCTTTTCGAATGCTATGATATCTTTCAACGATGTTGGAAACTTTAAATCGGAGAGAAATCGTAGTGAGTTTTAAATTTTTCATATTGAGATATTCTTCCACGATGCCTGTTATCTACTGAATCTCCGTGCATGCAGATCAGAAAAGCTGAAACAAAGCAATCATTTTCCTTATTATCGGGATTCACAATGGCATTCTTATTTTTCAGATGGCTGGGAATGATGCACGAACATCCACCCTTTAATATTTCAAACTGAGCTGTTTGTATATCACAGCCTTTCACTTCATCTAATATCCAACCACTGCCATTTCGTTCGAAGATTTCCACATTATTATCGATTTCATTAACCATGTCACAAAAGATTCTATTAATGTAGAGGGGACTGAGGATAATTTTAAGAGAAGAATTAAAATATTGTTCTGTTGTTTCCATGAATTCTACCTCTTCTTCATCCACGCTTGGATGAATACGTTTAAATTTACACAAAAGCGTTATTTGAAACTTAATGCTATTATAAATTGAAACATTGTGAAATAGAATCTGATTAATTTTAAACTTAAATCTATTAAAAAAATCTCTAACAGAAATAATATTATTATCCTCATGTGTATTTCTAAATCTGTAAGTTTTCATAAAGCCTTGAAAGGCTTCAATTTCAGAGAAAGGGAAAGCATTCAGTCGTAGCCCTCTTCCTCTTTGATCAAATTTCATGGATTTTATAACTCCTCTTTTATGAGCTTCATTGTGCTCTAGATCAAAAATGTTGGCTGAGAAGTCACAATATTCACATCTATGATAAGTATTCATATGTACTTCTAACAATTTAGACGACCTGAATGACATGGTACAATATTGACACAATTTTCTCTTGTTTTCATCTCGGTGCCTTAGTAAATGTGACGCAAAATGCTGACGATTTAAGAATCTCCTAAAACATTTCAAGCATTGGAATGTTGTCGTCTTAATACGAGGAGCCTGCCAAAATAAAACAACAATCTCAGTAACTATCAACAGTTTATACACATTCTTGTCTAAGTGATCTCACCATTTTCTTTGTGATGTAAATCTCTCAACTATTATTAGGTTGCTCCGAATGAAGTACTCATACACTAAGCACGGAGAAAAAAAAACAAATTTTGAGAATTAATTGTATAAATTTAAACTTGGAAATTTAAAAATAATAAATAAATAAAAAATAACTTACCAAAATTTCCAAAATCAAAGTCAAGAAGTGTGTATTCTAAAAAATGCTTGTGAGAAAATATGTATAACAACATCTTTTTTTATATCTCGGCGTGACGTCAATATCTTAATACCAGGAATGTGTTTACATATAATAAAACATACCATCACTTCAACTCCAATACTGTAAAAAATATTAATTACCACTTACCACTATTAACCGTATTTTGTAAATAATTGAATTAGTAACCCCTAGGGAGTTATTACATTTTTACGGTATGTACTTATTTTGGAATTTTTTTTTTGTAAATTACTAAGACTATAAAAACAATTGGCAAAATAATGAGCAAGTTAGTCAATGTTTCAACATTACGTGCAAAGGATTTCCAAAGAAGAAATAAAAACTTTAAAAACTCCAAAATGTCTCGGTAAGTTTTCCTAAAACACAAATAAAATAATTTTAAGAAACTAAACAAGCTTTAGGAAAATTTTCAAATGTTGATAAAATATAAACTTGAAATCTTAAATAAATTCCAATATTTACGTAAATTTTAGCAGGGATAAACGCAGTGGCAAGATCACGGAAAATCTTAGAGGAGGCTAAGCCAGGAAGTCGAGAGTCTGAGGACGCACGAGCTTTTCTTCTTTCTCACCGTCGACAACCTGAAGTCTTTGACGCTGGATTCGTCGTAGACGATGATGAGGAGGAACCAAGCGGACCTTTCACTGATGAGGAGGAGGATGAAGACGAAGAGGACGAGGATTCTCCGTCTGAGCCAGAGGAGGATCCTGATTTTGTTCCTGCAAATGAACATTCGCAAAAACGTAAGATATTTTATTTGATTTATTAGGTCATATACTTATTGTTCATTTTTAATTTAATTGTAAATTGTTTCTACTATCAGGGCTGAACCTCGTGGATGATTTGCATGCAGTGCCTAAGTCAAAGCGCAAAGAACCTGCAACCAAATCAAAGAAACTGGAGCCAGTTGTTAAACTGAAAAAGGTTGATTTATGTACGGAGCAGAAACGACGACGGGAAGCAAGGGAGAATGCAGCTGATGCGAAGAAGGTTGACGCTGCTTCCAAGAAGGAGCTAGATGCCGCTCGTCGAAACCCGTTAAGCTTGTTCTACACTGGTCCTGAAGAGAAGACAGTCAAGGCTGCTGCCGCCGCTAACAAGAGGAAGATGGCTGAAAAGGGTAAGATGTCAATAATTATTTTAAAATGTTAATAGGGAAATTTGTTGTAATCATAAGCTTTAAATTTTTATTTCTATTAATTGCAGAAAAGTCCCCAGCGGAGAAGAGAGGTCGAGTCAAGAGTGTTCCGCCTTCTGCTGTTCCTGTTCCTTCAACGGCGCTTGTTCCTGTTGCTCGTACTACGATTCCTCCTGCAAGCTCATCATCATCAGCTCCAGAGCTGATGATGATGCACATATGAAGCATATGTGCCTTCATCATCTTACAAAGGTCCTATTTCGCTTAATTTTGCTCCCGAAGGGGAAAGGAGTGACGATCCTAGTGGACAAAATATTGTCCATTGGGAGGGCCAGCTAGGTCAGGGGTTTTGGCTAAAACTCCAAACTTGGAGAAAAAATGGGCAGGCTTATGTCTGCATCAGAAAGAATCAAACCACAGGGACAAACCTGTCGTTTAAATATTTTCAATCGTTGGTTGCAGCTTGCAATACCCTGCAAACAAAGATTGACACAGACCCTGATTATACTACCTGGATCCCATAAATCCTTTCAAAATTAAACTGAAATCTATTTTTTCTTTACCTCTCTTAAGCTGAACAAGTTGGTTGGTCAGAGGAAGTAGATTCTAATCAGGGCGTCTATAAAAATTCGGAAGATCTTATAATTATTTCAAATAACGATTATATAATGGGACATACACAGTTTTTTCACTTCTTGCCTATAACACTCCAAAGAAAATTAAAATTTGTTAAATCATGTAACGTAGCTATGACTTCGATTTTCCAAGCCAAAGAAAGCTTTCTTTTACCTGACAATTTTTGGTATCCCGTTTTGATGGTATCTCCTCATTATATGGATTGAATGTAGTAGTTGATTTCCTACATATTTCAAATATATAAAAATAAGTCGATAATTATAATAGTTTGACTAACAATTGAAGTTTAAATAAAAAATGTATAAATATTAACCTTCTAGATGACTATAGAACGGTCCACTTTATTAGGAAGACCTTTGAAAGTAAATTTCCAACAAAGTTGCACCCTCAATCTGCTGGTTATGATTTGTACTGTCAATCCGGAGCGTTACTTAAAGCAGGGGAAATGATATTGATGGATATTGGGATTCAAGTTAAATTACCGTTGGGCCATGTTGGTTTGATTAAACCAAGGTCTGGGTTAGCGTTCCGGCATAAAATTGACGTCATGGGGGGCGTGGTCGATGAAGATTTTGAAGGAACTTTGGGGGTTATGCTAATCAACCATGGGAAACTTCCATATCAAGTTGAACTTGGGGATCGCGTTGCTCAGTTCTTGATTATAAAACTCCATAATGGACCGTTGAAGAAGTCTACGTTTGATGAAATTATTACCACCACAGCACCTGTAGCTTCTCGGCGTGGAGCCAAAGGATATGGCTCCTCTGGAAAATAAAAACGAGCAATTTTTACTATATTCAATATAAACTAAGTAAAATTTACTTAAACTTAAATATCTTCGCAGCTAATGTTAAAATTTCACCATCCTTCCTGCACGACCCTTGATTCAATAAATAAAACACACGCACAAACTTAATCCAAATATTTAATCTAATAACTGAAATAAATGTAATCAAAAATGTTAATATTTGTTACATAAAATGTCTCCTATATTGAACTGTACCTGAAGAACATGCTTGCATTAGTTGGTGGGCGAGCTCCTTGTTGGAGCTACTAGTGGAAGAAACTTTTCTCTCTTGGTCGAGTTACTGTCACTTTCCGCTGTAAGACACAATGTTGCAGTAAGACGGAATATGTAACTTGAAAAGAAAGAAAAAATAATAATGAAAATCATAACTAAAATCTAAAATAATTAATGAACTAAGCATACCAAGCTTAATTTTGCAAATATTTTGCAATGAAACATGCGTATTTTCATATGTACATATATTTCATGTAACCTACACACTTACCAGAAAATAAAACCTTCATTTATCATCCTATCTTTGGTGCTGTTGTTACAATTTATTGATATCAATCTCCATCCTGTATGACCCTTCATCACACAAACACACACACACACACACACTTTTGCAAGTATTTATTTTTAAAATAATCTCCTCTCAAATGTGAATATTTTCTTTGCAAATTGCACGTTGCATTTAAGTTGATATTAGTAGTAGTGAATAACGTGCATGGCTTACATTAGTTAATGAGCAAGCTCCTTGTAGCAGCAGCTGCTCGGAGAGAAAACTTTTTCTCCTGGTGGAGCTTTTATTTCACTGGTCTCCCATCCGCACGCTAGGGTGCGGAAGCACCTCGCTAGTAGAAGAAACTGCTAGTAGAAGAAACTTTTTTTCATTTTAATATTTTGTAAACTTTCTCTCTTTCACTGGTCGCACTTCCGCTGGAGCGGAAGTGCGACCATAAGATCATCATATGTACATAAAAAGCATTGGGTTCGAAAATAGTAGAAAATTTTATCCTCTTTCACATTTCCACACAAAATCACTCCTTTTCACTTTCACTACTTGAACGAGATTAATAAATGTGAAGTGAAAGTAGGATTACTTTGCAGTACGCAGTATTGAAGTCATGCTACTTAAGCCGCACGCGTGCGGCTTTGGTAAACTTTCCACGTGTCATGATTTCGTCCAGAAAATAATTTGCATTTATTATTTTCACAATATTAAAGCAGTAGTTTCTACCGACTTATTTTTTTGGCATTGCTGTATGCGCACGAGTACCTAAAACTGAAAAAAATCTAAATAAATCTGTTCCCGATAAATATTTTCATCCATTTATTTCATCGTCGTAACAGTTTCACATTTTTCAAATTTGGTTTAAAATACTTATGACCATTACATAAATAAACAATGCCATTGAAAGTTAGATATTTGCAAATACTTTAATGTAATTAATTTATTGTCCACATAAAACTTTAGGACCCTTAACATATCTACATATCCATTTATTTATTTATAAATTACCTAATCAGTAACTAATTAAATATATTTCAAGCAATTAAAATGTGGCGTTTTCCTTACGCATATAATTTACTTTTTCTCGTATACAAATTCACCACACCACACGAAATTATCTATATTAGATTTTATTTCAGGATGGCATTGACAAGGTTGGATATATATCTTTAGACAATTAATATTATATATACATGTTTTTTATAAGTTGCTAAAAAGAGACATGTACAAATATTGTGTGCGCATTAAAAAAATCAAAAATCTCAAAAAATAAAGTAACTTCGTACGTACAGAACTTTATGAGAAATACAAAAATTAATAACTTAAGTACATTTGATAAATTAAATTAATTACTTAATTAATCCTTCGTGAAAATGGGACCCAATAATAAATGAAACTACATACAAACATACACTTTACTACAGTGTTTTATTACGAAATAGTGCAAATTACGTATTTAGGTAGGCTACCGTATTGTGAATAATTTCTAAAATATTAGTGATATCACGTATCAGACTGACATTTATTTACTTTGGGTGATGATCGTATACTGGGAAATATCACTAAAATTAATTGTTTCTCTTGATATTTGACACTGTACAGTTTTTATCACGAATAATATAATCTCCCTCGAAGAATATTCACACGCAATTTGACTAATTAGTGACAAAACTTAACGATTTTAGCACCTTTTCGGTGCTACGAGATCAACCGGTCAGACACATTAATTAAAGAAATGCCTTCCAATTGTTATTTTTAACATTGAAGCAATTCACGCGGATATTTGTAACCCAATAAATTGTGTAAAATGAGTTTGCAAATTGTAACAAGGTGAAAAGACGTCCTTGATCTGGGTAACTTTACAATACTGATTTTCCTTGGGTATCTTAATTTAAAAATTTACACGTTTCGATTACCAGTGGCCGCGGAAGCCATCTGGGGACATTAGTAAATTAGCATTGTAGAATAGGGAATGGAGGGGTTTATATAACATGGGCAGATGATGGGGACATCGAATAACCATTGCCCCTCTGTCTACACCCTTCCGCGGTCACTGTCGGTTACAAGTATCCAACAGAATTACAAATAATTTTGTAATAATTTAATATCAGAAACTGTTAAAAAGTGGGAACACAGTTTGCAATTAACTGGCAATTCAATTTTTTGTCCCTATGTGAATCCACTCCTCCCTCACCTTAGACGCGGACGGGGTCATGAATCTGGTCAGAGTCGTCGAGCGCGGAGGCATTGGCGATGGCGACATGGGCGCGGCTCAACTTCCTGGCCACGTTTTCCTTATCATCGCCGTACTGCTGGTGGTAGAACTCGCGTCGCATGAGGGAGTCCAGCGTGGCGCAACGGAAGCACAGAATTTCTTTGAAGGGGCGCCGGAAGTCGCGGTTCAGGGTGGCGTAAATTAACGGATTGAGGGCCGAGTTGCTGTACCCGAGCCAGTTGAAGACTGACCAGACCCAAACGGGAGCGTCGGTATCTGGGAAGAAATTAGAGAAATTAGAGAAAGGGAAAGTTAAGAAATGTTTTAATTTCGGAAATTAAATTTTATAAGTAGATTTAAAGATAAATTTGAATATTTTGATATGCAGAAGTTCAGAATATGTATGCAGCTAAAGTTTGTTGTATTTTAAACTCAATTTTTATGTTGATGGTGTTAAAAAATATGAAATAAAATTGATGGGGTTAAAATATACAAATATATAAATTAATGCCGCAGTAATTTAGAAATATATACGTATGAAACTGCCAACAAGTAGATAGCACGTTTTTGCAGGTAGGCCATCGGTGTGACATTTATTCATATGACCTGCACTTTCAATGACAATTTTAAATTCAGACTTTTCTTATTAACCAATCAACCTCTTTTTTAACCTAGTAATATTTATCATCCCACATCTACAATTCCGTCGTTAATATATTGTAAAAACGCGTCAAGTTTGCAGCTCTGACGTCACTGTGCTCCTATCCTACGGTGTTGGCTCACATGGTAAGGATACGAGCACAGTGACGTCAGAGCTGCAAACTTGACGCGTTTTTACAATACCTAAATAATTATACAATTTACACATTTTGCACTTTTCGTAAATCTCCTAACGGCGCATAATCCACTCAACTTCCATCCAAGTTTGCCACTGTCAAATAAACTAAATGGCTGGCCACCCTCTACTCTTCTTCCATAGTAATCTTTGTAGAGTCAATCAACTAATTTGTGCAATGTTGACTTTGACTATGAATACTTCCTTCAATATCAATAAGATTGCTCTCAATTACTGCACGCGCTGTCAATTTTCTGACTAGTCTCCCAGTCTGAGTTGATTCTTCGTAGTAAATGGCAACCTAAACCGTGTTGACATTCTCGGAAGATTTAATTAACTGATTGAATTTGTGAAGTCAATCTGTATAGGTGATTCCCTCACTTCCGGGAACTTTCACAATTATCTTTACTACGTTGATATTCGACCCCAAGTTTGTAACTGGACGTTGTAAATCTATTTGTGCACTTGATACTTTGATTGAACCTTCCTGACATTGCAACTTTCACGTCATACGACGCTTACACTTCCTTGCAAGATTAGGGGTCAAGGTTCCTAAAGCTTTACGAAAATCTGTTGTGGCGTGGCATTCTCGGATATTTGGAAACTGTGTAAATTTTATAAATTTACAGTGCAAACTTTTACACAATAGAAACATGCCTGTAGATACCCAATAGATACATATCTGTGTAAATTTGCAATATTGTCTATTATTATTCTGAAATCATCATTTTATGTCATAATTTTTGCAAACTGGTCTTAAATAGGAATCTGGTACATATGACTCTACCAACATGGTAATAACAAGTGTTATCGGTAACGAAAAATTTACCACTCAGAACAAGCTACTACCAAGCAAATTCTTACCATATCAATGCCAGTAGAAAGTACCAATATATATGTGATTCTACCGGATTTTTTTTAGTGTGCAGGTTTCACCAAGTTTATTACGCCTAACGTTTTTAGATTCCTCCTCCACTGCTTAGTAATTGCACCTAATGCTATAATTTTAAATATGTCATAAAAAATCATATATATCATATGCATTAAATACCCGTGATGACTTTGACTCATCCCTTTTACTACGTCATTAATCCGTCTGTCTCATTTTGTGAATGTAACAAAATACAGTCTAAATAATCCACCCCCCCACCCACGCTGATGCAAATCGATTGTTTACTTTGTAAAATATCTACCCACGCTTTTGCGCAAACTAACTATTTTCATATAAGTCTTAATGATGGCGTTAACAGATAACTTTACCCTTCCAGGTCAAACAGGATTTCACCTCTACTGTAAATATTTACACGACGAGTCATTATTCTCTTCTTGGAGAAGATAACGATTCTATGTACAAAAGCAAAACAGATAAATTATTGTAAATCAAGATTTTAGGGAGATTTCGATGCCTGAATTTTTTTTCGAAAATTCGGGCCAATTTAACAGTTAGCAATTTTGACGTTCTGCTTTCACCTCTTGGTTACATGTGTTGTAAAGGTAGTATTTTTATAACTTTATTGAATATTTTGGGAAAAAATGTTCACAACTTACCGTTAAGTGCCAAGAAGGGACGCATAATTGCAAGGATAAAGAAAGGCTGAAAATAATAATTAAAATTCAATTTAATCAGTTTAATTAATTTAATTCGATTCAACTTTAATTAGTTAATTTAAATTAATATGACTCACCAGCCAGCAAACTATAAATGCGGTCATAATAATTCCCAGTACTGTTGATGCCTTGTGCTCTTTCAAGCCCCCAAATAATTTCTCTGTAAAGTTAGAAAAGACACAAGATATTAGTTGTTTATACATTATTAGTTGTTTATACATAAATATAATTGCAATAATATATGACCGATTCAATTCCACACAAATTTCACGAAATTACTCGAAATTATCATAGCACGGGCATTAACAATCAGTTCAGAAATTGGGAAATTTCACAAAATCAGACCAAAAATGCTTGACATCGCATTTTTATGCAAATTTTTATGCATTTTTATGCATTTTATTTATATTATTTTTATGTATTTTATTTATTTTATTTTTATATGCATTATTTTTATGCATTTTTATATACTACATTTCTATGCAAATATTTTAAGAGATTTCGTAATCTGATATGAAGGATACGTGATTACCACATTTTACATAACTAATTTTTGTTCTTTTGTTCCATTCTTTTGTTTAAAACCCACCACGCCCTCTGAAGTTTATCTGAAGTCCATCGATCTAACTAAACTTAAAATTATTTGGTAATCGTTAAGATTTGCATACATAATTAACTTTCACTCCATTGTTGTAATATCTCGGGTGATATTTACTCCTAGCTAATTACGACTTTCTACTAGCCCATTTAACACACAGAAAGTGAGGGCAAAGTTGAAATACGTAGTGGGAAAGTAAAGGAAGTAATCATCCTCGCGACGCTAAAGTTCTTTCATTAGAGAAAATTCTATGAAAACTAAGTGACAAAACTATTTCGTAAAGTTAAAAGTTTGCTGAGAAACGGAGGGAGGAATTTTGGACTCTTTTAACAACTTTTGACATTTTGAGCTTTCTTAGTTGGCGGCGGGATTGATGAAGCGTTTTTAATCCGGAGTTAATTAAGTGTCCAGGTCGAAAAGTGTATGGATGGAGTGACTCTAATTTTAATGGGACGTTGATGATGATAAGGTGAAAGAAGAGGGGAAGATAAGTAAGCATGTTTTTGTCCCTGAGTGAAAGAAAAGCTATTCATTCATTTGGTGAAATGAGGATTAATTCATTCGTGAACTGAAGAGTTCTTTCATTTTTAAGCTGAGAGATCAATCTGGCTAAAATAGTGAGAAAGAAGTCGAAATGATCATAGGGCAGATTTCAGATGTCAGAACGTTCTTAATGTGAAATTTGTGAATATGTTCATTTTAGGTCCCAATTTCTGATATTGAGGTAATTCACGCAGTCCTTTTGGTAGCATTGCAAAATCCGTAAATTCTGTAAACTTGTAAACGTGTACAAAATTTTTAAAAAAATTCTAAGGAAAATAAGCTTACAATTTTTGCAACCTTGCTCAGATCAAGGGCGTCATTTTATTTTAAGTTTGTAAAACTATTTTACAAATTTACGGATTTTAAAAGTTACAAAGACTGCGTGAATCGTCTCATAATTTTGAATTTCTTAAACATATTTCCTTAATTTTTTCGCTTACTCCTCCTTTGTCAAATTAATTAATAACTTTATTCAGCCCATTTTCATATTAATCTATGATTAATTACTCGTTTACAATTACGCCAGCTTTTACACACAATTAGTAACATTTGCCAAAATATGCACAAATTTGCAAAAAAATCCACTAACCTTTCTTCAACCTATGTAGCGTCGTTGTCGGGAAGAAATAGACTCCATTGGTCCCCTGCTGCTTGTTATTGTTGACATTGTTGTTCCCCGCACCTCCTCCGTGCGCAGTCCCGTTGCTCATGGCAACCACCATGGCGGCAGTGTTGCCTCGGACGGAGTGACCGTTGCGAGTCGGTGTGGCCGCGGTGGTCGTAACCGTGATGAGTGGAGAGCCCGAACTGCGACCATAATGTGAGTGCGCCGAGGCGACCGAGTCCTTCTTGTCGACGGCGACGAGGGAGGAAGACGCCGCCGAGGGGCGCTTGATCGTCGTCGTGGTCGTCGCCTTCCACGACATTTGCTTCTTCTTATCCGCCACGACCCGTAAGATCTTAAAGTACACGACCAGCATGACGAGAAGAGGGGCGTAGAAGGAGGCGATCGTAGCGTAAATTTGGTACCTGGAAGGAAAATAGGGCATATAAAATATCGGCATTTTGTTGAGATAAGAAAAATATGAAAAAAATGTATAAATTGGGGAGTGAAAGTTTGGAATTTTTGAGGGAGCAAACCCATGCAATTTTGTACTTGGTAAATTTTTCTGACAGGTTAACGAGGGCAAGTAAAATTAAAAAAGTAAAATTAAAATTAAATTAAAGTGTTCTATACATATTTTTGAAATTTTATCATACTATTAATTCATTGCAGAATCGTAACGTCACTATGAGAATTTATAATTAAGAGGTAAATCGTCTTTGAACAGGTGTATTATGATTTTCTTGAAAATATAGGGCTTTAATGGAATTAATATCACGGAAAATTTACCCTTATCATTAATTTCGGTTGCTACATATATATATTCATTCATATTATATCTTTCTTCACATGCTTATCTTTCCAGGAAGATATCCCACCTTTTGGCTGTTTCATCCCTCCTCTCATTATAAATACAATCCATTTGAAAACATATTTAGAAACCACAACGCCCCACAAATGAGATGCCACATATACCAAAATGAATCTAAATAAGTACGAGTGAACCTTGGATTTCAGTTTCAATTTCGTCATATTGGATTCTGTAGTGCCACATAATAAGTCAATATAAAGGTATAAATACAAGAACATGGTGAAAGTGTGGCTGGCACAGAGCCAGATTGGTTCATCAGTTATTGTCTCCAGTTTACAAATCGGTTTGAGGATTTGCTCATTCGACTTCGTAATGCACCTGTTTCTTCTCCTCCACTCCCTCCACGAGAGGAAATTTGGTTACAAATTGGATTCGATAAAGAAAAATGGATATGACACGCTCGACTGGATCAGAGGAGAAAACGGAACGAAGGACAGTTTCACTTTCACTTTGGAAGTATTGAGGAAAGTGAAAGTGAAACCTGTTATCTGTTTTTTCCAAAAAGGAGTGAACTTGCATATCGCAAAATTTAGAGACAAGAATAAGTCGTAATAAAATACAAAATTTTAAAATTTGCACAATATTAGTTTTTCTGTTAGTAAAACACTATCTAAAAATAAAAATTATTGTAAAATTTAACGTAAATTTTGATTTCATACATACGACATAGGTAACACCGAAGCCTTGACAAATTAGGTACACTTTAAACAAGAGTAAGTCGTATGTAATGCAATATAAAACTTGAAAATTTGCGCTACACTAGTTTTTCTGTGAGTCAAACACTTTCCAAAAAGAAACATTTGATTGAAATTTTGAAAATAAATTTTGATTTTATAAGAAAATAAGTCCGACACCGGAGACGACAACCTTGACAAGCTTCCTACCTACGACTCAGCTAATACTCGTCAATTCCGTCTTGACCTTGCCGTCTGATTGGCATCTGTCTCTTGGCGAGTGGTGAAAGGTGGTTGACATCTGAATCAGCCCCACCCGGCCAACTTAACCTAACTGAACTTTCTCCTGCCACTAATGACCCCAATTCTGGAGGGAATGCAACCCCGAAACTTTTACTCATCGCCTTGGTGCCGGCATCTTATCACGAGTTGAGACGAATTCTCAACCTTATCTACATAGTCAAATGGCATCTTTTTGCAGGTTTCTATGCAAAGCAAAAGTGGGGAAAAAAAGCGGGGGAGAAAGTATGTATAAGACTTTGAGAAAGTCGATTTATCATTCGCCGCCCACAGTCAGGACGCTGCTTTCTCCGACTTGGTGACTCGTGCATGCATAATAAGTAGCGATGATGTAAACGGGACGGCAGTAAAGGAAAGGAGATAAAAGTTTGATCTTACATAACAAACTTATTGCACATTTTCTGTAAAATATGCTAAAAAATACTTGCAATAAAGTCCAATTGTGTAAAAAATAATTTGGAAAATTTCATTTTTACTACTGCATGCTCGTAACCGTTAAGACAAATTTTGCAACGAACGTCATCAAAACCAAGGTATGAGATTTCTTAGTTCTACTTTTATTCTACTTTTAGTTTGCAAATTAAAGTTTTTACTTGCACATTATTAGCAAATATCATAATAAGCAATTGACGTCTTCGACACAGACGCGACTCACGATTGTCAGTAGAAATGTTATGAGAACTCTAAACTGTATGCATACATATGTACACATGCTCTTTCTTTCTTTTAGTGCTCATCTGCATAATCTATTTTACCATACTTTACGTTACGGAATGGCATAAAATTGAGACGGATGTGACACTTTTATCAGATTTCTTGTCCTGCTTCGTTATTTAACACATCCTGTCGTGTATGTACTTTCAAATGTCCGTATGCTACGAGGGGACCTTCGGAATGGATGTGACCGATTTGGAGCATACCTGTTCAAAAAAACTTTGTTCCTTCAAAGTTCAGTCATCCCGATTTCTGAATGAAGATTCTCATTCATTTTCACTCACTCATTTTTTTTCATATTCATTTCATTTCACTTCATCTGACTTCATTCTTACTTCGCCCCATGTATTAAGCATAGGGTGAAAAATAAAAGAAGTGAGAAATCCTTTCATTCACAGTCACTCATCTGAAATGACGGAATCTTTCACTCATTTTCATTCAAATCACAGGATATTCATTTTCATTCAAATCACAGGATATTCATTTTCATTCAAATCACAGGATATTCATTTTCATTCAAATCACAGGATATTCATTTTCATTCAAATCACAGGATATTCATTTTCATTCAATATCATTCTCAATCATAATCAGTCACATGAATGAAAGTGAACAGGTATGATTTGGAGGGGGTGTTAATCATGCAATTCTTATTAACCGAGGGCAAGATGATATTCTTCCCATGTTGACATGAGGCTCACAGGTCACCCCAAATTCTTAATGGACGTCCCCTCACGTTATGTAGCTCTAAATTTAAGGAGAAAGACAAGCTTTCTCTTCCCCGCACGTGGACCAACTTTTCAAAATAAAACGCAGTACGAAGAAAATGGAGTAGAATAAAACAAAGCGATTTGAATGTTTAAATGGATTAGGTTTGATGCCGGATCAGATGACGGATCGGATCGATGTGCGTCATTCATCCATAACGCAAAATGCATAATTGAAATTTTGGAAGTTTGGGGAAAACTTGGTGAAATAAATTATGCAGTTTTTTCAAAATTGCAGAAAATTTTAATAAAGGAGACTTGTTTGGCAAGTATTTTATGAAAGGTTATTACTGATACATGTAACAATTTTGAAAAGGCGCATGATTAAAAATGTACCAAAATATATAAGTGTATTTGTACAAATTTGAGAAATAAATACAAATCATTTGCCACGTCTTGTTTGAAATTTTATATTTTTGATAGACTGGGGCGACTAACTATTTTTTTCATCAAAACTATAGGTTATACATACATTGATAGACTAATAGTGTGTCTTTTGGCAGGTGAATTGTTTGATTCCGGAATAGTTCGTTATTTGTTAAATGTAGCACTATGAAGGTAAATGACGAATAAAAATATTAATGGGATATTACGAAGTTATTATTTAGCTACAATTACAATAAGAATTACCTTGAGTTAAATAATTTCTAATCTGCATCTCATCAAAATTTGCTTACAAATTCAAATTTTAAAAATACATATTTGCTCCCACTCACCAGAAATCTTGTGACACGGAACAGAAGCTTTCACCCTTGGGGTCAGTGTGGACGTTTCCGAGGAGGAGGACGGGAGGAAGTGAGACACACGCGGAGAGCAGCCACACCACAAAAATGATCCCCATCATGCGACGTGGCGTCGTTTTAGCGGAATATTCCAAGGGCGTCGTAATCGCTCGGTAGCGGTCCAAACTGATCCCGCAAAGATTCAGAATGGACGCGGTGCAACAAAGGACATCGGCTAAAATGGAGGAGGCAAAAAAGTAGAGAAAGTTAGAAACGTTTTTTTGCACAGTTTTTTGCACAGTTTTGATAACTTATAGAAATCGTTTTATTTTATAAATAGGGCGACGCAAATTTCACGACGGAAATTAATTAACAAATATGTAAATATTATAATACCACGTGGTAATGTGTACGTAATTTTAAATTTTGTAAAAACCCAGACCAAGCAACGATCTTATAATGTTCCATTTACTACGAAAATGCTGCCCTTACGGCTAAAAGTTATGCCCAACTTATATAATTTTATTGCAATTTTGCCCCCATTATTTGCACATTTGTGCTTTAACAAAACCTTAAACGTTGCACGCAAACTAAATCACGAAGCTAACAACTTTAATCATAAAAGTCAAATCATGGTCAACCCTTCAAACAACTTTGTTTTCTCCAACTTTCACTTGAACCAGGTTCTCATTCACCTTGAACCCTCGCCCTGACTTTCACCTCTGAAGAGAAGAAGAGAAAGCACGAAATTGACAAAGTGACAAACAAAACTCTCGCTTTTTGGAGGATTCCTCCTCGTTGAGCACGGGGGGATCATAAAGTGGCAATATTTCAAATCTTCCTTTGTCCAATCCCACTTTAATCTGTGAGTGATGCTGACAGAGAAAGAGTTACTTCTTTGTCCCCTCGTAAATGATACCGTAAATGAAATGGAACATTTATTTCTCAGTTGGTGTCATAAAATTGGGCAGGTGTACGTACGTTAACCTGGTTAATCCAGTAAAGCACGAGGGTTTCATATGTCATGTTCTGTTCTGTTGTTTTTCTTCGTGGAATTTAGCGAGCTGAATAACCTTTTGAAGGTGAATATCATAGAAAAGATAAGATTTTTGATAGAACCGTTGTTTTAGTAATTTCGTCAACATGTTCTTTTGAATTGGATATATTTACTATTTATTTATACAATTCTATGTAAAACATATGGAATGCTGTAGATTAAAAATATTTATAGGGGTGATCTGCAGATTTCAGCTGTACCATGAAAATTGTTAATATTATTTTTTACATATGTGTATATACGTATTTCTTATTTGGGTTTTTTGTATTTTTTCGAACCTTGCACATTGCTCATCTGTTAAAGATTCTGTGTAATGAATAGAATGCCAAATTTTTGTGTTTAAACGGAAATGTTAGTCTTATTATTTCTATTTATTAAATGAATTTTGGTTGTGTAAAATTCCTAAGTTTTTACTATTTAAATGAAATGCATTATTTATTAGTTTTCTGACAAATTTAAACGCCGAAGACTTTCTATGACTAAAACTCATATTTTTATAGCATTAATTTAGATATTATACTTTTCAGCGTACAAAAGTTGTTCCAATAATTTTTTTACATTTAGAAATTAGTTAGTGACAAAGGGGTAACCGTCAATCACTTTGGTAGCGATTTACTACCAGACGGTAAAAATAAATTTATGCGAAACTCCACTGATAACATTTCCCGAGTGCACCGTGTTTCTTAGAAATAATTGTAAAGCTAATTCATGGAATAATATACACTCTCCTAATTTTTACATACCGCATTCCCTACTTATTTAGAGTGCGTAATAAATAAAGCAGGCCAAATAAAAAATTAATGTCCACTCTTTCCTTAAAGACTCCATATTTCTTAATTTACACTTTAACAATGTCCTTACACAGGACAAAGTCTCCTGCAAAATAGTCCTTCCACTAACAACCTTATGACCACGGCCCATCACTCATTCCGAGAACGACGCAGATTTAAAAACGAATTATGCAAATGATGACGGATTGCCCCATTTACTTTGGGCTAAGGACGTGACACTTCTCTGGCAAGTGAGAGTAATTCGTTTCCTGGAGCAGAATACAAATTACGTCGGTGTTTTCGTATGGATGGCGGAATGATGAGGATGGATACCACCACCGCAGTAAAATTACTACTACTAGATGAGGGTTAAATAAGGTGAAAGTGAGCGAGGAGGTGAGGTGCAAGGTTTACATATTCCGTGTCAGGTGATCTATGTGGAAGGGAGCAGAATTCTAATTAGGATTTCACCGCATAATGACAATCTAATAAGTGAGAGACGACGTCATATTACACGTTCCGCAGAATTATCAGGGCACGAACAAGCCGATCCTCTAGAGAAACAGTTCAATCTATGTATGCAAAATATCTACATAATTACGTAATCCTCACTTTCACCAAGAATTTCGAAAATTGGATGGCGTGCGAAATTCAAGTGTGCAGTGTTTGAATTGTAAACTGCAATTTTCATACCCAATTTCATGTTATGTAACAAAATCCTGTAAAGAAAATTGCATGTTGTGCGAAATGTAAGTGTATAATGTCTGAATTGTACTCTGTAAACTGCAATTTTCATTGTGAATTTCATATTATGCAACAAAATCCTGTAAAGACCTGCATCATTTTATTTTCAGTTATTTTTTACGCTACACTGATTTTTTGCGTAATTATATGCCATTCAATTTGCATCTTACATCATTTTCAATTTTACAAATTTGCAGGACTTCAAAAACGCAATAGAAAAATCTTGTTACGCAGAGAAGATCGTAATGGATGGACGAAAATCTCACCCAATTTGAGAAGCGTGCACGTAGAGTAAGTATTCAGGTCGGAGAAAGGTATGTATCCAGCAGGACGAAATCGAATTACACTTTCCCATCCACGGATCCATTTATTTAATAACTTTTCCTTTCTTGGCTACAATAACATAATTACTGATGAAACCGGAGAATGGAATCAGCTCCGAATAACGACGACACCCAACTTCAAAAGGAATCCAATCAAATTAATAACTCGACGACGACTATACCGCAACAGAGATCGGAATGAGATTGGACACATAATATCGCCATCATCATTACTTCAATGGCCAACGTTACGATTTGTGAAATGCACAGGGATCCTAATAAAACACCGTGAACACTGAATTTTACACCGTTTTCTGCAAGATCTCTGTAAATATGTATGTTTTCTATATGTAAATCAAATTTGTGATCCATAAAATTTTTTTAATATCAAATTTTATGGTATTAAATTTACTTTTGCAAAAAAATTGAAGTTTTGGCAAAATCTGTAAAATTTACATATCTTCAATTGACTTAAAATTCCAAACGAAATATGCAAATAAAATCAATATAAAGTTAGTTCTCATCTCACATAGAGTCAACAAGTACATAAAGGGTGTTAATAAAGTCCGATCCCATGCATTTTTTGGAGCGTGGTTGTTACAAATTCAGCTGGAACTTTTGAACCAGTGAAGTTATTTATTTCAAATTTTTACCATGGGAGGAACAACTAAACGTGTAAGTCATGAGCATCTTAGAGTTGAGATACAAACATTGCATCAGCAGGGGCTTAAACCTACAGAAATTGTGCAAAAATTGGGCTGCAGCCGCAGAACTGTTTGGAAATGGAAGAATAAAAATTTTGTCCACGACAAAAAGCGACCAGGGCGACCCAGAAAGGTGTCACCTACCACAAAAAGAATGATTAAAAACAGACTTTGCAAGAAAACCGGTAGTTCATTACGTAATTGAGCAAGGGAGTTAAATGACTCAAAACGCTATAAAGAGAAGAAGAAGCAAATTAACTGTGTGACCGTGCAAAAATTTGTGAAAACTACGAAGTGGGGTCACACAGCTTACAAACTAACCAAAAAAACCTCTCATGTCACAAAAATATATCGATGACCGTCTGAAATTTGAAGAACTCCTTCAGAAAAGTGCCCATTTGAGTGAAAAAAGACTTGGTGAAGAATTGCGCAGTCACATCCTTTGGACTGACGAATCTATTATTGAACTATATCCAAAATTGAACCAACAAAATGTTCGTTACAGGACAGAAAACAAATCGGATGTACCATCAAGAGCGATCCCAAAATTCGGGCTTAAAGTTATGGTAGCGGGTGGATTTTGTGCACGTTGCGTGACCCCTCTACATATCATACCAAAAGGCAAATCAGTCAATGCAAAGCATTATATGGAAAAAATATTACCTATCTATTTCGATAGCATGGGGAACAAGGAAATATTTCCGAATGAAAGAAAAATAGTTTTCATGCAGGATGGTGCTATAGCCCATACAGCAAAAGCGAGTTTGAGTCTCATCAAGACGCAAGTTTCAACGGTCTGGAGCAAGGGGGTGTGGGCCGCTAACGGCCCAGATTTGAATCCCCTGAAGAACCAGTGGTCCATACTTAAGGAAAATGTATACAAAGAGCCACAACCCCGGACGAGGGAAGAGCTAGTAAAAAAAAGTTCAAGATGTATGGAATTCGATTTCCAGAGGCACATTGGAAAAATTAGCACAGAGCCTTAAACAAAGAGTTGAGGGCATGGTTAAAGTAAATGGTAACAAGACCAAATACTAAGGTAAATATGTCGAACATTTTTTGTAAGTATCACGGGTAGTTTTTTTTATACTAGCCTTCACTTTTTTACAGGAAAAATGGGATCGGACTTTATTAACACCCTGTACATATTTCTGTAATGTATATTTTCATAATTATAATTCGGCAGTAAAATTTAATTTAGACTCGATTCATAGAAAACACTGTTTTAATAATTTTAAAAAATTTTGATTTTTGTACCACATCAAATTTTCGAACCCTAGTTTTTCTAGCATGCCGACATCATAACAGAATATTTGCCACAGGAGAAATTAAATCAAATCTAGATCCACCCTTGGGGTGCAATCACCAAGGAATAATAGTGCCATGCCACAATAATCAAATTGTTGAAAATTTCCCCATTTTCATATGTTTCACAAACAGTACTGCTGTCCACCATGCGTGGAATAATACACGTTAAAGGGCACGAACAGATGAGCGGAAAAGAACAAAGGACAAAACGAGACAAAGAAATCATAACGACTAAAATCTGTTAGTTAAATATTATTCTTTAATTAATTTGTGTCAGAAATGGATTGAATTTCAGGGCAGGATTTAACGAGCAAAAATCAAGGGAAAAG